CTTTTTCTACTTTGAATTTTCCAAAAGCCTATAACGAGTAATATATCAGATAGATAAATAAAATTTCACATGTAAGTAAAAGATCTATATCTCTACCTTCTGTCAAATTTTGAGTTATTTCCGTTGACCGGAAGTACTAATTTACGCTATTTCCGATTTCTCAAAAAACGCAGGTAAATTTATAAAGTACTAATAATATTGCGCACATCTTTATTTGGCGTTCGCTTGGTGGGCAATTTTTTTTTTCTATGAGATTCTATTCTATTTTAAAAAGTTTAATTATTTAAAATGGATTTAAAATCATAACTAAGTCCCGAGTTCCAATCCCCTGTTATTTTATATAAGAATATTCGAGAAAGTTTAGGGGAGATCACTCCCGGTTTATTTAATTATTTAAACGTTTAAAAATAAATAGAATAGAATCTCGTAGAAAAAAGAATTGCACACCAAATGTACAGTAGTGCGGAACAGAAGCGTAGCGAGGTCGTGGCGTGGGAGGGGGGGGGGGGGGTGGGGTGCGGCTCGCACAGGGTGACACCTTTAGGGGGTGACACCACGGCAAAAAATTGCATAATTTACAGAAGAAAAATGCTTTTTAGCCAGTTTAATTAATAAGTAATTGAATTTATTTAGTCTTTTAAGTATACATCGACGGTACTCAAGTTATCGTGTTTAAAGTCACACATACACACACACACACACACACACACACACGGACATACGGACAAAATTGCTAAAATATGTTTTTCCGACTCAGGGAGGTGTAAAACGTCGAGATTTGCAAAAATCTCGAATTTTTTTCTTGCACGATTACAAGACTTACAATACTTTGAATGTACGAGATAGTAAAAAAGAGAAACATTTAGCGCTGAAAGAAAATCATATAGAATTTCTTTTTAATTTCGCAAGTTAGCTCTCCTTAAACTTCAATGTTACAAGAAAAAAAAATTACGGTCAAAGGGGAACAAACATATAAAATGTTCACGTCGTAGTTTAGCCAAGAGTATTTCGCTTGAATTAATTATTTTTTAATAACAATACTTGTATTTATTATTAGTATTTATTAACATTATCATATATTAGTATTAAAATCGATAAATATTTATACTTTTCAATATAGAAATAAATTTTCATTAGATACATAATTTCTATTCATAGATTTATTTTTTAAAATATTAAAATGTTAATTTAAAACTGAAATGTGATAATTATTTTAATCCTATTGAATACATAATAAACAGTTTATGTATTTAATCAAGACAGAAAGCAGAACATATATATTATATTTTGTGGTCTAATGGAAATTATTTAGCATCTCTTTTTAATTTCGCAAGTTAGCTCTCTTTTAATTTCAATGTTACAAGAAAAAAATAGAAAATTTATGGTCAAAGGGGAACAAACATGAAAAAGGTTCACCTCGTAGTTAAGCCATGGTTATCTCGCTTCAACATATTTTTAAAAAAATATTAACTATATTTATTAATGTTAATATTTATTATCATGTTTTAGTATTAAAATGGACAAGTATTAAGACTTTTCAGTGCACAACTTTATATTTTCTAAAGTCATATTGCCAATAAATAAAATATTGTACAAAAAAGAAGATAAAAGAACAAAAAATGTTAATTTAAAACAGAAATCTGAGAACTATTTTAATCCAATTGAATACACTTTAAATTTTATACTGTTCATGGTTTGATGAATATAAAAGCGAAAACATTTTTGATCGCTGAAAGGGAAATTATACAGCTGGTCTTTTTAATTTCCCAAGTTAGCTCTCTTTAAATTTCAATGTTACAAGAAAAAATAAAAAAAATTACGGTCAAAGGGGAATAAACATGAAAAAGGTTCATCTCGTAGTTTAGCCATGGTTATCTCGCTTCAACAAATTTAAAATAGAAAAAAAACTATATTTATTATTATTAATATTAATATTTATTATCATGTATTGTATTAAACTGGACAAACATTAAGACGTTTCAGGGTAGACATTTATATTTCATAAGATACATATTGCCGATAAATAAATTATTTTACAAAAAAGAAGATAAAAGAACATAAAATGTTAATTTAAAACAGAAATATGAGAACTATTTTAATCTAATTGAATACACTTTAAATTTTATACTGTTCATTGTTTTAATAAAGATAAAAGGAAAAACATTTTCCAGCGCTAAAAAGGGAAATCATATAGCATCTCTTTTTAATTTCCCAAGTTAACTCTCTTTGAATTTCAATGCTTCTAGAAAAATTTTTAAAAATTATGGTCAAAGGGAATCAATCATGAAAAGGTTCACCTCTTAGTTTAGCTGTGGTTATCTCGCTTCAATACAGGTTTTAAAAATAATAATTATTTTTCTTATTTATGTTAATTAACATATTTATAAGAATTAAAATGTATAGATATTAAGACTTTTCAGTATACAAAATTACATTTCATAAGAAACATATTGCTTATAAATAAAATATTGTACAAAAAAATATAAAATGTTAATTTAAAACAGAAATGTCAGAACTATTTTAATCCTTTTGATACACTGTAAATTTTGTTATGTTCATGGCTTTAGTAAAGCTGGAAGGAAAAGCAGTTTTAGCGCTAAAAGGGAAATAATATAGCATCTCTTTTTAATTTCCCAAGTTAACTCTCTTTGAATTTAAATGGTTCTAAAAAAAATAAAAATAATTTATGGTCAAAGGTAAACAAACATGAAAAAGTTTCACATTGTAGTTTAGCCATGGTTATCTCGCTTGAATGTATCTAAAAAAATAATAACTATATTTATTAATATTTTATTAATATTTATTAACGTTTATTGGTATTAAACTGTAAAAAAATCAATACTTGTTAAAAAAAAGAAAATAAGATTCATATTTGATATAAAGTTTTCAGAGAAAATTTTATTGATGTAAATTTAAAGTTAAAATGTGAAAATTCTTATTGAAAGTAATATCGATATTTATATTTGTTATTTTTTTAAATTATTTTACGTTAATGTTAATAAATTTAATAATAATAATTGTTGATATTTTTCAGTAAATGTGTTATTATTATTATTGTTATATAATATTATTATATTAATTTATTAATATTTTAAAAAATACACTATAACTAAAAAGTAAAAAATAATACAACCTTATTAAAAGCAGTCCAAAATTTTTTTGAAAAGCAAAATACCATTAATATTTTTACTTACACTAATATTTATAACAATAAATATTTATTTTAAAAAAGCGAGAGTGATCTCCCCGAAACTTTCTTGAATATACTTATATTGTAAGACTACGGGGGATGGCAACTCGGGATATGAGGTCATCCAATTATGACGTCTACAAAAATGTGTTTAAACACGCCTCACCCTGTCCACATGCGTCCACTTTCGTTATGTTCATTCGTTCAATTTCGACGAACAATACAAATAATGTTTTAGAATAACGACATTTATTTATTTTCTTGATTTTTCATGCAAACACCACCCAAATAAAACAATTTCATGCTGAAATACAATCGGTATCTTCAGCGTCGACGATTCGTTTCTCCGTTGTCATCTAAAATAAAATAAATAATAAAACAGTAAGTTGAGAAATGTGTTAAATTGATCTCGCGATAAGTGACTTGAACGAGAGTATGCACGCGATTAAAAACTCACACTGGGACGGCGTGGTCAAGAGGTAAAGCAAACCTCTGCTAGCGTGAAAGCTTCGAGCTCGGATGCGGGGCTCTAGTCTGTAGAAAGTCCCTGAGTCCACCAAGCTCAGGTGGGCAGTTGACTCACGTTTGGTAAACTGTACTCAGAGGCGTAGCGAGGGGGTGGGGGCGGGGGTGCGAACCGCACCGGGTGACACCATTTAGGGGGGGGTGACACCAAGGCAAAAAATAGCAAAATATATAGAGAAAAACTTGAGGATGGGGGTGCAAAATCGAAAGTTTGAGAGGGGGGGGGGGTGCAAATCAAAAGTTTGAGGGGGGGGGGGGTTGCGAAACGAAAGTTTGAAAGGGGGGTGCATATCGAAAATTTGAAAGTTTGTCCCCGGGGAAGGGTCGCTACGCCTCTGGGGAGGGGGGGGGGGTGTCACCATTAAGTGCCGCACGGGGTGACCACCCGACCTCGCTACGCCATTGACTGTACTGACCACAACCCTGTATGTCCAGTCATTAAAACAGATGAACTTTACAACATCTGCCTCATTTGTCTTGTGCTTGAACGGGAAAAGATCCGGATGAATACTTACACATATAAGTATTGCATTAGAACGCTGAGAATAAGTCCTATTGTTGCGTGACTTTAAGAAAGGCTATTTAGTTTTCTTCTCGTTTTGGAATCAGGTAAGTGATCGAGTATTTAAGCAGATTTTCTATTTTTATAAGCTTTTATTTAGTTAACGATGACTGTCTGTTTATTAGTTTCAAGTTTTTCTTTTGTAGGTTGTGGTAAACCTTGTAACTCAAAGTTGCTGCCGTCTTATGGTCCAGAAGAAGACATGCTGGAGTGCCTTGTGTTCAAAATAACGGCAAGGTTTAACAAACACACTTGAAATTAAATTAAATCAACTTTGATAGCCATTCGCAACACAATGTTGTCTCTCGAATCAACAAACGTGAAACGCCGAATTTTTTCTGGCTCTATAAAAAACGGAGGACCCCGGTTGCTGTCCAACCCCCCCCCCCCCCTCCCCCACTGTATTCAAGAATTCGCCTTAAAACAATCGAACTGCACGTTATCAAAATGCGCGTCAAAATTGTTCAAGGGAATTCCCAAAACAATTTTACAACAACCCCCCCCCCCCCTACTGTATTCAAGAATTCGCCTTAAAACAATCGAACTGCACGTTATCAAAATGCGCGTCAAAATTGTTCAAGGGAATTCCCAAAACAATTTTACAACAACCCCCCCCCTCCCCACTGTATTCAAGAATTCGCCTTAAAACAATCGAACTTCACGTTATCAAAATGCGCGTCAAAAATTGTTTGAGGGAATTCCCAAAAAAACTTTACACTCCCACCAAAATGTCAGCTGAAATCAACGTCTGTTGCTTATGAAACACAATAAAGATTGGCCCATATGTGCTACAGTAGAGCAAGAAAATAGATTCAACAGCTAATGTCTAGAAACTGATGGGGATGTAGTAAGTTCTTATGTTGTAAAATGTGTACAGTTGATTCAAAAGAACTTATTTAAAAAAATATAATATTTATACACACTTGGTAAAAAGGTTAAGACAAATTACGAACTAGATCTAGATCTAGATCTAGATCTAGATCTAACTAGTCTAGATCATAACTATTTCTAGCGACAACATCTAGATCTAGATATAGAGTCTACTTTACACCTAGAGTCTAGTTTGCTTGATGAGCTTCTCAAAATAAAATAAAAAAATAAAAACTTGTATCTGTAGGTTTATAATTTAGGCGGCTGGGCCTATCTAAGTCTAGACTCTACTTTCTATATCGTCTGCAGGTTATAAATTAACGACAGTTTTGACGATATCTAAAACCTTAACCACTATTCCTATTTATCTAACCCAGACCATAATAATCTACAGAGGATGCGAAACTAACCCCCCCCCCCCCCCATTAATACTACTTTCTTCTGGGTTAAGGGTTTAAGTTAAATGCTTTAGGCTCAAGGGCTACGATTTCAGGGTTCAGTGTTTAGGATTATGGGTTGAGGACAAGGTTTAGGACTGGTTAGGGATGGAGGGTTGGGGATTGAGGACAATGATTAAGATTAAGGTTGCATAAGGGATTGACGGTTGAGGATAAGGATTAAGATTGAGTATGGGATTGACGGTTGAGGATAAGGATTAAGATGGGTATGGGACTGAGGATTGAGGGTTGAGGATAAGGATTAAGATTGGGTATGGGATTGACGGTTGAGGATAAGGATTAAGATGGGTATGGGACTCAAGATTGAAGACAATGATTAAGATCGGGTATGGGACTGAGGATTAAGGGTTGAGGATAAGGATTAAGATTGGGTAAGGGATTGACGGTTGAGGATAAGGATTAAGATTGGGTATGGGATGGAGGGTTGAGGATAAGGATTAAGATTGGGTATGGGATTGACGGTTGAGGATAAGAATTAAGATGGGTATGGGACTGAAGTTTGAAGACAAGGATTAAGATCGGGTATGGGACTGAGGATTAAGGGTTGAGGATAAGGATTAAGATTGGGTATGGGATTGACGGTTGAGGATAAGAATTAAGATGGGTATGGGACTGAAGTTTGAAGACAAGGATTAAGATCGGGTATGGGACTGAGGATTAAGGGTTGAGGATAAGGATTAAGATTGGGTAAGGGATTGACGGTTGAGGATAAGGATTAAGATTGGGTATGGGATGGAGGGTTGAGGATAAGGATTAAGATTGGGTATGGGATTGACGGTTGAGGATAAGAATTAAGATGGGTATGGGACTGAAGTTTGAAGACAAGGATTAAGATCGGGTATGGGACTGAGGATTAAGGGTTGAGGATAAGGATTAAGATTGGGTATGGGATTGACGGTTGAGGATAAGGATTAAGATGGGTATGGGACTGAAGTTTGAAGACAAAGATTAAGATCGGGTATGGAACTGAGGATTAAGGGTTGAGGATAAGGATTAAGATTGGATATGGGATGGAGGGTTAAGGAAAAGGATTAAGATGGGTATGGGATTGACGGATTAAAGTTGGGTATGGGATGGAGAGTTGAGGGTAGAGGATAAGGATTAAGATTGAGTATAGGATTGCAACTAGGGTACAATTAGTTCAAGGGAATACGGTAAAGTTTAAATTAATGATCAGTATGGTGTTTTTGATTTTATGTTAGAATTACGGTTATTAATCAAATGTATGTATGTATTATAAAATATAAAATAGGAGGGAGGGGGGGGGGGGGGGATAATTACCCGGGATTATTTTCCAGGTAGGTGATGGATTAGGGAGTGCTGACAATTATTTGGGTTAGGAGAATGTTTTGGATAAATAACGAGGTGATTGTGTCTATTACACGCGCTATGTGTGTTGTCATACAATGTTTTTGTTTACACATTTATAAGTCCATGATTACTTTGGATTCGTTTCCACGACAAAAATAGAAACTTGCTGAACACATCACATGATGGTGCAAGGTTAAACATTTTGTTAACCAAGATGTAATGATTTTTGTTTCGGTTATATTTTACGGCTCATTTTTAAGACAATACAAAAATAACAACAACCGGAAAACAGTGCAAGCAGAAAATGCGTAAATACAATCTAATTATACTAACACATAAATTTTGTCACATTTCGCAGACATATGTTTTATTATGCTGAAACTTACATATAGTCACTCGATTTAAAAACAAAACAAAAATGCCGTTGCGCACTATTTTTGCGAAATTTTCCGTTGCACATCTTTCCGGTCACAAAAAAAGTGATACGTCACTACCTACATAAATGTAATTTGTATAGTCTACTTGGTTTATATCGCTGATTGACGTAAACGTTCAACCTCATGTTAACTCCCGAACTAAATATGTACGGCGAACGTATATATGTATATATATATATATATATATATATATATATATATATATATATATATATATATATATATATATATATAATTCTGTACGTGGGGACCATGCGAGACACCACCAAGACTTAAGCTCAACAGACCATGTCGCTACCACCCCACCAGTCTGGTGAGCTGTTTACAATCGTAGTGACGGCTATTAGGGGCAGATAATTTAGTTTTTAAACGATTTGAAATTAATAAGAGGGAGGGGAGGGGAGAGGAGTGGATGATGAAAATCGCCCTTCACTAGCTACTGAAAGTGTTTTAAAGCAAAATATTTTCAGGCACAGCATAGGTCGTGTCAAATTCACAAATTATGAATTACTAAAAATAGGAATTAAACTAAATAGCGGCGTATGCTACGTCGCGGGTCGGCTCGTAATTATATAATAAACTTCTTTTGGTGATTATTCTAGCGCAGGTCGCACTACCAAGAAGACATACAAATAAACATGGGCGCTATAAGGCTTGTTCAGTTGTTGGCCTGTCTGCTTTTTCTAACTGGTAAGTTGTTGCTTTTTGCTTCGTTCTTAATTGTAATGTTTGGCGTGATTGCGTCTAAAATAAATAAGTATTAATCGTCAACGTGTTATGCGTCTTTTTGGGAGCTGACTCCGATTTCAATCTTCTTCTCTTGAATGAGTTGTTTACATAGTTTTAGTCCATTCGAGAACAAACTACAAGGAAGCAGTTGTTTAGTTGTGGAGTTCTAGAGTATTCTCTACTATATGGGATACTGTCCACAGGAGTGGAACCTCCGTTTGCCTCTGTTGATTAGTTTGTTATTTCTTATTGCTATGCTTTCTGCTCACTCGCCAATACTCATGTGTATATCTTTATCACTATTGTATCACGTTATAGTTACATAGTTTTTTTATTTTCATGTTAAGTATCTATGTACGGATGGGTGTAAATAGTGCCTTATCAATTCCACAAAGTCTCTCCTTTCTTCGTCAATGTTGGTGGGGGTATCAAGCACTATATTTACTGTTTAAAGGGGGAAATTTTAAATTTCGCCTCTCTCTCTCTCTCTCTCTCTCTCTCTCTCTCTCTCTCTCTCTCTCTGGATTAACTGAAACCTCCGCTCCTGTAAAAGAGGTGGACTGACCCTGATAAAAATCTTGTTGAGACCCAAGGGATACACCTCAAAGGTTACCCCCCCCCCTCAGTAAATAAGTTATAATCTTCCTAGTAGTGTTTCGATTTTTAAAAAAAAACATTTTGAAAGTAACTCTCCATTTTACAGTTTACTTTGCGTCATGCGAGGTTAGAATATTTTTAATCTGGAGTTGGGTCCCTTTTTTAAATTTCGCAAGCCAATCCACCCCTGTCTGTATACAATCCTTTACAGACACAATCTTATCCCAACAATCTTATCCCAACAATCTTATCCCAACAGTCTTATCCCAACAATCTTTTCCCAACAATCTTATCCCAACAATCTTATCCCAACAATCTTATCCGAATAATCTTATCCCAACAATCTTATCCCAACAATCTTATCCCAACAGTCTGATCCCAACAATCTTATCCCAACAGTCTTATCCAAACAATCTTATCCCAACAATCTTATCCCAACAATCTTATCCCAAAAATCTTATCCCAACAATCTTATCCCAACAGTCTTATCCCAACAATCTTATCCCAACAAACTTATCCCAACAGTCTTATCCCAACAATCTTATCCCAACAGTCTTATCCCAACAATCTTATCCCAACAGTCTTATCCCAATAGTCTTATCCCAACAATCTTATCCCAATAATCTTATCCCAACAATCTTATCCCAACAATCTTATCCCAACAAACTTATCCCAACAATCTTATACCAACAATCTTATCCGAATAGCCTTATCCCAATCTTATCCCAACAGTCTTATCCCAACAATCTTATCCCAACAATCTTATCCCAACAATCTTATACCAACAATCTTATCCGAATAGTCTTATCCCAACAATCTTATCCCAACAAACTTATCCCAACAGTCTTATCCCAACAATCTTATCCCAACAGTCTTATCCCAACAATCTTATCCCAACAGTCTTATCCCAACAGTCTTATCCCAACAATCTTATTTCAACAATCTTATCCCAACAATCTTATTTTAACAATCTTATCCCAACAATCTTATCCCAATAATGTTATCCCAACAATATTATCCCAACAATTTTATCCCAACAATCTTATCCCAACAATCTTTTCCCAACAATCTTATCCCAACAATCTTAGCCCAAAAGTCTTAGCCCAAAAATCTTATTCCAACAGTCTTATCCCAACAATCTTATCCCAACAATCTTATCCCAACAATCTTACCCCAATACTGTATATCTTGCGCTGTTTTTTTTTAATCCACAGAAGTCGTATGTCAAAACACTTCGTTTGTGGCGGTTATAGTTGGCTTGGAGAGGGACTGCATCAATCATTATTGCCGGTACACTGGGCGAATATTTGGACATTTCTGGCACCCTTACAATACCAAACCCATGGAGAGTGATAAGCCTTGCATCAGTTTGGTAGCCCAGGAATGCCATCAACTATCTATTACAGATTGTAATAGAGACCCATATTTATGGGTACGGGTAAGTCGTCAAAAAAAAATTATTTTCATCACTTTTTGAAAAGCTGTTTACTTGTTCGCTTTTATTCGGAATGAAAAGCGACGGTTATGTTTTCCCCACGCTTTTGTCTAGGCCCAACTCATCTCAGAATATGATACATCAGAGGATAATTTTTTTACTGCTATTTTTAAAAAAAAAAATCACTGCTTCAAATAACTGTTTCTTTAGACAAATTAAAAAAAAAAAGTTATACCAGAACACAATGCAAGTTGAGTGATATTTATTGACAAGGGTACGAAAAATGCGATTTGTCATATATATTTTTTTTCATGCGTAATGACCCTCTCTGTTGAGAGATAGGAGAAAGTCATCGAAATCAGACCCTGCTTGCACAGTTAGACTTTATAATTTTAATTTACCAAATTCCTAATAAAGCCCAACCCTCGTATTCTGAGTTCGTCTGTTTTTTTTTTGGTGAGTCAGTCTCAGGGGTTCTGTGAGTCAGTCTAAGGGGTTCGGTGAATCAGTCTCAAGGGTTTGGTCAGTCAGTCTCAGGGGTTCGGTGAATCAGTTTCAAGGGTTTGGTGAGTCAGTCTCAGGGGTTCGGTGAATCAGTCTCAGGGGTTCGGTGAGTCAGTCTCAGGGGGTTCGGTGAGTCAGTCTCAGGGGTTCGGTGAATCAGTCTCAAGGGTTTGGTCAGTCAGTCTCAGGGGTTCGGTGAATCAGTCTCAGGGGTTCGGTGAGTCAGTCTCAGGGGTTCGGTGAGTCAGTCTCAGGGGTTCGGTGAATCAGTCTCAAGGGTTTGGTCAGTCAGTCTCAGGGGTTCGGTCAGTCAGTCTAAGGGGTTCGGTGAATCAGTCTCAAGGGTTTGGTCAGTCAGTCTCAGGGGTTCAGTGAATCAGTCTCAAGGGTTTGGTCAGTCAGTCTCAGGGGTTCGGTGAATCAGTCTCAAGGGTTTGGTCAGTCAGTCTCAGGGGTTCGGTGAATCAGTCTCAAGGGTTTGGTCAGTCATTCTCAGGGGTTCGGTGAATCAGTCTCAAGGGTTTGGTCAGTCAGTCTCAGGGGTTCGGTGAATCAGTCTTAAGGGTTTGGTCAGTCAGTCTCAGGGGTTCGGTGAATCAGTCTCAAGGGTTTGGTCAGTCAGTCTCAGGGGTTCGTTGAGTCAGTCTAAGGGGTTCGGTGAGTCAGTCTCAGGGGTTCGGTGAGTCATTCTCAAGGGTTCGGTGAGTCAATCTCAAGGGTTCGATGAGTCAGTCTCAGGGGTTCGGTGAGTCAGTCTCAGGGGTTCGGTGAGTCAGTCTCAGGGGTTCGGTGAGTCAGTCTAAGGGGTTGGGTGAGTCAGTCTAAGGGGTTCGGTGAGTCAGTCTCAGGGGTTGGGTGAGTCAGTCTTAGGGGTTCGGTGAGTCAGTCTCAGGGGTTCGGTGAGTCAATCTCAAGGGTTCAGTGAGTCAGTCTCAGGGGTTGGGTGAGTCAATCTCAAGGGTTCGGTGAGTCAGTCTCAGGTGTTCGGTGAGTCAGTCTAAGGGGTTGGGTGAGTCAGTCTCAGGGGTTGGGTGAGTCAGTCTCAGGGGTTCGGTGAGTCAATCTCAGGGGTTCGGTGAGTCATTCTCAAGGGTTCGGTGAGTCAATCTCAGGGGTTGGGTGAGTCAGTCTAAGGGGTTCGGTGAGTCAGTCTCAGGGGTTCGGTGAGTCAGTCTCAGGGGTTCGGTGAGTCAGTCTCATGGGTTCGGTGAGTGAGTCTCAGGGGTTCGGTGAGTCAGTCTCAGGGGTTCGGTGAGTCATTTCAAGGGTTCGGTGAGTCATTCTCAGGGGTTCGGTGAGTCAATCTCAAGGGTTCGATGAGTAAGTCTCAGGGGTTCGGTGAGTCAGTCTCAGGGGTTCGGTGAGTTAGTCTCAGGGGTTCGGTGAGTCATTCTCAAGGGTTCGGTGAGTCAATCTCAAAGGTTCGATGAGTCAGTCTCATGGGTTCGGTGAGTCAGTCTCATGGGTTCGGTGAGTGAGTCTCAGGGGTTCGGTGAGTCAGTCTCAGGCGTTGGGTGAGTCAGTCTTAGGGGTTCGGTGAATCAGTCTCACGCGTTCGGTGAGTCAGTCTCAGGGGTTCGGTGAGTCAGTCTCAGGGGTTCGGTGAGTCAGTCTCAGGAGTTCGGTGAGTCAGTCTCAGGGGTTCGGTGAGTCAGTCTCAGGGGTTTGGCGGAGACCAATACACACCCGACTCATATGATTCACGATTGGATTTTGTCAGTGACGATATAAAATATACTAAGAAGTGTTTTGATGAATGCGCTTAAACAGTTAGGGTTCGGCACCTTGAAAAAGGTTAAAAACTTCCGTTTCAAATCTAAAAGTAAGGATTGTTTGAATGTGTATACAACTTTGTGAAGGGGTCATCCATAAATGACGTCACGCTTTTTTGGACGATTTTTACCTCCCCCCCCCTCCCCTCTGTCACACGTCGTCACAAAAAGCCAGACCCCCCCCCCCCCCTAAAATGACGTCACACCTCAACCTACAACCCCTCCTCAAAATTGCAGTTGAATTTTTCTAAAACATCGATATTTTTTCCAAAATCTTGTCTAAACTATTACAATTTATTAAAACAGTTATCTAAAACGCGAAATAACGTCTAAAATTCGTTTACTAACATTGCTTTTTTTATAATGCAAAAATGTGAACCCCCCCCCCCCCTTTTACGAGTGTGACGTCATTTATGGATGACCACGAAGTAATATTGCTAGCGTCTTTAAAATTAGAAAACAATGCACTGAACGTTGGTCGTGTCAAATTGTTGATTTTCAACCCAAGCTTCTTTCTTACAGGCATGTGTCATTTGGACCTACTGTCCTAGTTTTAGAAGGTGTCAGGAACATTCAATCGAAGACACCTGTTCATGCAAGACAGGTTCTCCACACTCCATGGCAGTGAATCTATATGAAGAAGATCTGTTACGAGCAATTTTTTTCCGAGTGGCGTTTGTGATCGATGAGACAGGTGAAATATTTGCTTTAAGCAATGTATATAGCATCCGGAGACTCCCAGGTGAATCAAATTATGATTTTTTTTTAAAAATGTTGTTGTTGAAGAATGAAAGGGGAATATTAACGCATGCCTCGTTTTTTGTGTCGAGTTAGGATTTAAATTAATTTGAACACAACAAACCAATCAGTTATAATGGAATCTGTGGCTTTTTAAAGTAGGTAGAAAACGTTACATCTTCAAAGCATTTCTATGGATCTGATATAGAAAATGTTGTTATTGCTCTGGAAGAGTTAGATTACTTGCATAATATTTGTAGTGTGTTACGGGTCATTTGAGGTCAGGTTAGAATAGGGTAGAATAGCCTCGAACTTAGTGGGGAGTGCGTGTGTGAGTTGAGTTCACCCTACTGTGTAGTAACCCCGGTGTGTTTATGTATTGTAATCCCAAGGTCGAATGCGGGTATAAAAGGGGGAGTGAACGATTGTAGGGGGTCAGCGGTTAGTTGATAGCAGGTAGGGCGAGGGCTACGCTAAAATGTACATATTTGAGACTGAATAAAAGTATTGAAGTAAACACGAATCGTTTCTTGAGTTTAAATTGAAACCAATCCGAACGTAACATAGTGTAACACAAATACCTCTAGATTGTTGCACAACGTGTATGTTACGTGGTTTTGGAATCCATCATTTATTTAAAAAAAAACAATCAGGATATTGTGACAAGGGGTTGACATTAAGAATTTAAAAAAAAAAACGAGCCGACCCGCGGCATATCATACGCCGCTATTTAGTTGTTTTTTTCTCTACTTTTCAGTAATTTATAATTTGTGAATTCGACAGTACCAATGCTGCCACTGAAAATATTTGCTTAAAAACACTAAACCCCCCTCCCCCCCCCCCCCACGTGAAAGCAGCCTCCTCTTAGTTACCTCCTCTAAGTTTAAAATCGTTTCAAACTAAATTATCTGCCCCTAATAGCCGTCACCAAACCCGTCTCTATGATTGTAAAATGTAAACAGCGTGACCACAGCTCACCAGACAATGTGGGGGTGGGGTGGGGGTGGTAGTGATAGAGAGAAAGAGAGGGGACTGCAAGGAGGCGCTTGCAGCTTGTTTTCTAACGGCTCCCAGAAGAGAATTATATATACGAGCCGGCCCGCGGCATAACATACGCCGCTATTTAGTTGTTTCTAATTTTCAATAATTCATAATTTGTGAATTCGACAGTACCAACGCTGACACTGAAAATATTTCTTTAAAACACTATAAGTAGCTCGTTAAGGACCATAACCCCCCCCCCCCCTACCTTCCCTCCCCCCTCCTCTCCCCCCCCCCCCCTACGTTTAAAATCGTTGGCTCTGCTTGTAAACATTTAGAGTGAACACAGCTCACTAAAACCATGTAGGGGTGGGGAGGTAGGGAGAGCGTTTGCAGCTTGTTTTCTAACGGCTCGAAGAAGAGAATTATATATATAGATAGATACGATGCCGAAAATATCTATCTATATATATAATTCTCTTCTGGGAGACGCTAGAAAACAAGCTGTAAACGCGCTCCCTACCATCCCCACCCCTACATGGTCTTAGTGAGCTGTGGTTCACGCTATATTTACCTTTGTGGAGTCGGGTTTAGTGACGGCTATTAGGGGCAGATAATTTTGTTTGAAACGATTTTAAACGTTGGGGGGGGGGGGGGGGGGTTAAGTGTTTTAAAGAAATATTTTCAGTGTCAGCATTGGTACTGTCGAATTCACAAATTATGAATAATTGAAAAGTAGAAAAAAACAACTAAATAACGGCGTATGTTATGCCGCGGGCCGGCTCGTTAATAATAATAGTTCAAAAATATTATTGTGGTAAATTACTCAACAAAAAAAAAAAAAAAAAAAAAAAAAAAAAAAAAAAAAAAAAAAAAACGAATACCATGCAATATGTCATGACATGATGCAAAGATTCTATGTGGGAACGTGGGGCTAAAGGTCAAAATGTTACCCATTTATTAGGCAAGACGCTTTTAGAGTTCATCAATACTGAACAAGACTCCACTCAAAAACAAAACCAACAAAAGTAACTTTTGATCTTTTTATTTCCTTTATATATAAAAACATATTGTGTTCTTCTCTAGGCTGTGATCTTTTGCCCCCCCCCCCTGCAAAATATGAGGCAAACAGCTAAATACACCAGTCAAAACCCCTAATATTAAATTTGAAATTTACGGGTGGTATATTTTTTTCTTTAACGCCAGCTATAGGAGGAATTATCAATTGAACAACAATACCATTATTTCACAACCACTACTGGATCTTGTTTGAATTTCTGTCACTTAACATTGCAACGACGTCAAATATATGTCTCCGTAGTCCAGGGGCGTAGCGAGGGGGGGGGGGGGGGGGCGGGGGGGGGGTTGCGGACCGCACCGGGTGACACCATTTAGGGGGGTGACATAAAGGCGAAAAATAGCAAAATATATAGAGAAAAACTTGAGGGGGGGGGTGCACATCGAAAGACTGAGGGGGGGGGGAGGTGCAAATCGAAAATTTGAAAGTTTGTCCCCGGGAAGGGTCGCTACGCCTCTGGGGGGGGGGTGGCACCATTAAGTGCCGCACTGGGTGACACCCGATCTCGCTACGCTAGTCTCAGAGACCGCTGGATAAATTGCGCATGAGAAATTCAAGTACGAAGCCTGGGTGGTAAGATGAAGAGCCAGATCCATGTATCCGCCCCTCCCCCTCCCCCGCCCCCCCCCCCCCTCTCCACACTGCTGATGGACCCTAGGGACTGGACGTTACCAGCACAGCTAGGCCTCTGCTGCGTCACAGACACTGCCGAAATGAAACCAGATTTAGCAATCCTATCGCGCTTAACTCCTGTTTGATTTCGGAGTTGTCTCTCCTAGATGGGGGTTACTGTCCCCTGCTGACGAGCCTCATCTGCCTGGAGGTTCGAACTCGGGACTTTCGGGTTAGCAATTATGCGCTGACACGCTCGCCTAATGAAATATGGAAGAAATAACTTGATGAAACGCTGATGAGTTCCGTATTTTATGTCCCACTTGTGCACAAACATAGCCTCTTAACATAATTGAATGACATCTTGCTGCAGATCACACAATTATATATATAATATATATATATATATATATATATATATATATATATATATATATATATATATATATATATATATATATATATATATGTATATATATATATAAATATATATATATATATATATATATATATATATATATATATATATATATATATATATACATATATATATATATATATATATATATATATATATATATATATATATATATATATATATATATACATATATATATCAGTGGCGTAAGCAGGGGGGTTAGGGGGTCATAACCCCCCACATAGACCCCTCGGTATATATATAAAAAGTATGAGGGGGGGGGGTGCAAATCGAAAGTTTGAGGGGAGGGGGGTGCAAATCGAAAGTTTGAGGGTGGTGCAAATCGGAAGTTTGAGTGGGGGGGGGGGGGTGCAAATCGAAAGTTCGAGGGGGAGGGTGCAAATCGAAAGTTTGAGGGGGAAGGTGGAAATCGAAAGTTTGTCCCCGGGTAAAAATTGAACCCCCCCCTCTTGAGACGATCCTGGCTACGCCACTGATATATATATATATATATATATATATATATATATATATATATATATATATATATATATATATATATATATATATATATATATATTTATTTATTTATTTACAGAAGATTTTGATCCTCTTTACCTCGATGAGCGTCAAGGTCAAGGTCAAGCTCACGGTCCAGAACACGTCAATACGGTGTTGTCAAGAAATGGTAACCCTCAGCTACACGCAGGTATTTTCCATTTGCTTATACGCACTTGAAGTGTAAGAAAATTGAAATGAATCCTGGCACATGAGCTTTAGGGTGACCCGTCAAAAGAGCGCACGACATAAGAGCGCCGACATAAGAGCGCCGACATAAGAGCGCCGACATAAGAGCGCCGACATAAGAGCGCAATCTAAAAATCAAAAAACCATATTTAATAAATAGGAACAAGAAAATTAACTCAAATCAGAAGGCATCGTTTGATGTTAACTCTTTATTGTTTCATTAAAAAACTAATTGTTCAGTTTCTTTAACTAAAAAACTGATATAATCAACGCGAAGTCCAATAATTCAAAACGCAATCTAAAAACACCTACAAAGATTTTAAATGTTAGGCCTAAAGTGAGAATATAAACTGAAACGAAATGTAACAAAATGAAAATAAGTTCAAATTAATAAAACGTTTCTTTATAGTTGCATTTATGTTGCTAAGTTGTGGGCTATGCCTCGTAGGTAGTTCATCATTGAATCATTAGCATAGGTTGAAGCAATCCCCTGCAATCTTTAGTTCAGCTGAACATATTTTTTCTTTGAAGCTTCTGGTTGTCGTTTGAAGAGGTTCAGGAATTGTTATCTCTGCAAAGTTCTGCGGATTTGGGTTTTGGCAGCTGCTTTCGTTTTCTCTGTCTTTCTATTGCACGTTGTGAAGAGACGTATGCCGGCAAATGAGGTGTTATTTCCATCGAAATTCCTTCTCTGGCTTGTATAATCTGCGTTGGTTTTTCCACCCCTTCCACTGCCCGTTTTCGTATAGCCGAAACCACTTACGCTGCTTCAATTTTAGCCGGATCAGGAGCGTGATTGTGTTCTGATGATGACAGAACAACATCGTTCAGCATTTTCATCCGTCCTCGGCAGCCATCTTTCTTGCAGCATCACCATGTCGTACTTCCATCAGCACTTGTTCTGTCCTGTCGATATATGTAGCCTTCGACCAATATAATAACCTTCCCTTTCTGTGATTCGATCTTCTCAATGTTATTTGGGTTAGAAATATTGTCAAACTGCATTCATAACATATTAACCATAATATATAAATAAACACGTTGTTTTCTCGCCGATTAATTAAAACAAGTGTTAACCATGTCATATTCGTTTAGCGTACAACAAGTTTTTTAATTGACTGCGCTCTTTTGTCGGCGATCTTTTGTCGGCGCTCTTTTGACGGGGTGCCGAGTTTTAGTTACTTCTTGCAAGTATCAGTTTTTTTTTTAAATTTTGTATTTAATTCAAATTTCAAGATGTGCAACTTAAATGTACCTAGAAGTGTTGTCGTGCATGGTAAAGCGTTTATTTTTCGGACCTAAACATCCACTGGACAGATAGAGTTCGTATATTTTCTTGGCCTCGGCATATACAGTGATTGTGTGGCCAGCACTAAGCACAACCGCCTTTACTTTCCCTATTGTGAGTTAGGTAACAACTCATGGACGCTCTACAGTCCCGTTTAGACCGAGATCCGAACTCGAAACCTACGGGCTAGTAGCCGAATATGCTGTCATCTATCTATATATATATAATTCTCTTCTTGGAGACCCTAGAAAACACCAAGCTGTAAGCGCGCTCCCTACCACCCCCACATGGTCAGGTGAGCTGTGGTTCACGCTAAATGTTTACACTCGTAGAGCCGGGTTTAGTGGAGGCTATTAGGGGTAGATAATTTAGTTTGAAACGATTTTAAACTTAGAGGAGGTAACTAAGAGGAGGCTGCTTTCACGGGGGGTGGGGGTAGGGGGGGGGTATCGTCCTTAACGAGCTACTGATAGTGTTTTAAAGCAAATATATTCAGTGGCAGCATTAGTACTGTCGAATTCACAAATTATTTATTACTGAAAAGTAGAAAATAAAACAACTAAATAGCGGCGTATGATATGCCGCGGGTCGGCTCGTACATTATAATTAATCTACTTTTAACTACAATACAAATGACATCATGAAGAATATTAAGTTTTTTATTAAAAGTTTAAATTTTTTTTTTTCTCAAACAGATTCGATCTGTGCCCACATTGGAACTGTGTGTGCTATTGGTCTAGCTACGCTCTTGTTTTAGTCACGTGTTAAGGAACAATTACATCTGTGAAAAAAAAAACAAGGCCGCCTAAAATGGAAAACTGTGAACGTATAAAAATCACATTTATGTAAAGCTATTAGTTATACATGACCAGCGATATTATGTATATTTAAAAATCCAAAAGTATATTTATAAGTAAAAATATATTTGAAATATGTTTTTTTTCTTCACTAAAATTTTCTAGCTTTGAAATACGGTATTGTTATGAAAGCTGCTGGCTTTTATAATTCGTACATTTACTCTGTCAAAACTTAATTATTCCACGTGATTGTGGTTATAATTTTTTTTTAATAAAGCCGCATGACACAACCCTATTTCGTTCCAATCAATGTTTCTAATGCTTTTAATTGTTTTCGGCATCGCTTGAGAATGTTTTTTATAATATACTTTAATTTGATGAATTGTGTTGAAGTGTTTAATGTCTAGTTACAATTTTGTTTCATACTTGATTTGACTTTTTGTATAAGTTTGGTGTGTGTTTAGGGTTTATCTGTTTCGTCTATTTTTATTTGCAATCATCTGGTTATCAGTTTTATAAATTTGATAACATTTTGAATGTGCATTCAACTTCAAAAACCGACTTATATGACGCAGAATTAAAATTATAATTCAAATTTAAAAAATAAGCTTGTTTAACCAATTGCAGTAATAAATTAACACGCACTAATACAAGTATAAGTACAAACAAACAGAGGCGTAGCGAGGAAGGGGGGGGGGGGGTGTTCGGACCGCATTTAGGAGGGGTGACACCCCTGGAAACACACACTACGTAAATAAGTTTATAATACGTTAACAAATGAGGCAAAAAGGTTATATTTCAAAAATGAAAAGCCTTATGTAATAATTCTTTTAAATAAATACAGTGGATATTGTGATTTATTTCTGAAAATGAATGCTAATTTTAAACAATTATTACAATTGCGTTTATAATTTTTAGTTTTTAAATGTCACTCTTATCTTAATTACTATTTAATTAGCAACGACCAGTGGCGTAGCGAGGTCGGGTGTCACCCGGTGCGGCACTTAATGGTGTCAGCCCCAGCCAGAGGCGTAGCGAGCCTTCCCGGGGACAAACTTTCAATTTTTGATTTGCACACCCCCCTCAAACTTTCGATTTGCACCCCCCCCCTCAAACTTTCGATTTGCACCTCTTAAAAGACTATTTAACACTCGAATTAATCACTTAATTAAGTGTAATTATCATTTTCCCCTCTATATTTTGCTATTTTTTGCCTTGGTGTCACCCCCCTAAATGGTGTCACCCGGTGTGGTCCGCACCCCCCGCCCCCCTCGCTACGCCTCTGGTAACGAACAGTTTATTGGTAGGCCCTACACTTTTTCCCAATAAAAATATTTGCGCTGTGTGGTATAAACATGGGTTTATTTAAATAAAATAATTCAACTGATCTATATTATATGTCGGTTACAACTAAACGTTCGATTACCACAAATATGAGTACATTGTCGATTGTAAAATTCAAGTTAGTGAGACAGTGTTGGTGTTTTTGTTTTTTTTAAATGTGAAAAATTGGTCTTAAATTGTACGTTTGAGACATACTTTATACATTGTACTACATAAAAGAATTCTATCAATAAATTAAATGTATTACAAAATATTGCATTTTCCTACAAAATACACTTGATTTTGAGATAAAACCTAAACAATATTTGTACAAATATAAAAAAAGATTTTAAAAATCGTAACAAAATCCTTAAATTCTTAGAAACAAATTTAAATTCTTTAAAAGCTAAAGCTTAAAAAGGTAATGCGCTAAGTACTTTTGCATATCAAGTTAAATAACTTGTCAAGAAAAACATTATTGCGTTAGAACAATGGTATAAATAGTTTTTATAACTATCGACACGAGTTATTTGATTTTGTGATTGTTTTTTTTTTTTTTGTGAGTCAGTTAATGTAACCAGTGGCGTAGCGAGGTCGGGTGTCACCCGGTGCGGCACTTAATGGTGTCACCCCCCCAGAGGCGTAGCGACCCTTCCTGGGGACAAACTTTCAAAATTTCGATTTGCACCCCTCCCTCAATATTTCGATTTGCACCCCCCCCCCTCAAACTTTCGATTTGCACCCCCCCTCCCTCAATATTTCGATTTGCACCCCCCCCCTCAAACTTTCGATTTGCACCCCCCTCAAGTTTTTCTCTCTATATGTTGCTATTTTTTGCCTTGGTGTCACCCCCCTAAATGGTGTCACCCGGTGCGGTCCGCACCCCCCCCCTCGCTACGCCACTGAATGTAACTAAAATATTAAATATTGTATTTTACATGCAAAAGCAAGTACGAGGAGAAAACATGTTAAATAAAAAACTTGTAAATATGATACAGTCGCGAAAAAAGAAAGAATGAATAATGTAAAACGTAAAAACAATTCGAGAAGGGGAGTTAATTAGACAATAGTAAATGGCAAATCAGTGTAAGAGTGATGGTTATTGTGCAGATGCGTAGCGAGGGGGCGGGGGTGTGGAATGCACCGGGTGACACCATTTAGGGGGGATGACACCAAGGAAAAAAATAGCAAAATATATAGAGAAAAATGATAATTCCACTTAATTAAGTGATTAATTCGAGTGTTAAATAGTCTTTTAAGAGGCGCAAAACGAAAGTTTGAGTGGGGGAGGGGGGGGGGTGCAATTCGAAAGTTTGAGGGGGGGGGGGTGGCTGCAAATCGAAAGTTTGATTTGTCCCCTGGAAGGGTCGCTACGCCTCTGGGGGGTGACACCATTAAGTGCCGCACCGGGTGACACCCGACCTCGCTACGCCACTGTTACTGTGTACATAGATCTAACAACTGCAAATGGACAAAGAATGAGTATTATATTAATTTTCCTTTTTATTTTACTACACCGTTTGTTTAGTGTTGCTTCTCGCATAAACTAGTTTTAAAAAAAAATCTTTAATTTTTATTTTCGGTATAAGAGTGAAATTAAACGTGATTATGGTGTGGGGCATTTAGTCTTGTGTTTGTTACAGACGCCCATGTAAACTTGTTACTGATGGTGTGTATAATTATCTCATTATTTGCCACCTTCATGTTATTCATTATAAAAAAGTTACATCAATTTTTAAAAAAAAACTTCGATATTGGAATGAACGAGAAGGAATGAATTATAATTTTAAAAAAAAACAGAACTCTACCATTTAAAAAAAAATGAGTCAAGGGGGCGACATGGTCTAGCGGTAGAACTCTCGGTTGCCAACAGGAAAATCTCGAGTTCGGATCCCGAACAAAATGCACTAGCACCAATGAAATAATGGATGCTAATCGCCAAATACAGGTAAAGAAACCATTAACAGTATATAAACACAATTTTAACAATATGAAATACACAAATAAGACGTGCAGTTTAAATCATTTATTAGATGTTTGTAAAAGTTCAGCCAATAATTTAATTATTTAACTATTTTTTAACTAGATCAAACTTGAAGTCGCGGCTTGATAGGAGGTTACGCTATCAGTCCAGGCTGAAGATAAAGTTAAAAAAAATGTTTGCATGATATCAATACAAAAACTAAATATTCTACAAGATATATATATATATATATATATATATATATATATATATATATATATATATATATATATATATATATATATATATATATATATATATATACTAGCCGTCCCGGCCAGGCCCTGCTCTGGCTTCTGTGAAAAACCCTTCTGTTAAAGACCATCACCTGTGTGTTTAGTAATCATCATAAACCCGGCATTGCCCACCCAAACCACAACCAACCAAAACCAAAACAACAAAACGCAAACATAACGCTAACACAATTACAAATACAAACGAAAACAAAAACTTACAACAAACCAACCACAACCACAAACACCAATACGAACACAAAGAAAAAAGCAAACGAAAACAAACCAAATCCAAACACAAAACAACCACAAACACAAACCCAAAGAAAAAACAAACGAAAAAGCAAACGAAAACAAACCAAATACAAACGCAAAACCAACCACAAACCCAAAGAAAAAAAACACAAAAGAAAAAACAAACGAAAACAAACCACATCCAAACGCAAAACCAACCTCAAACACAAATACAAACACAAACCCAATGAAAATAAAACACAAACGAAAACGAAAAAAGAAAGAACAAAAACGAACCAAATCAAAACGCAACCACTAACGCAAACCCAACCTAAACACAAAGAAAACACTAACGCGAATATAAACGCAAAGTGCTCACGGGGCTGAATCGCCTACTTCAACTTAATAAACGACTATAGTACCCCAACTTATTCATAGCCTTTTGCACTCACTTTAATGAACGTAGGCGCGAAACCGAACACGGGAGGCCCGGGACCCCAAAAAGCACCCTGTCTGGGCGCCAGAGGACGCACCATGACGTCACCGCCTGATTGAACTTAGTAAACGCCTATAGTGCATAACTTATTTATAGTCTTTTGAACTCACGCGAACGTAGATACCATAGCGTACACCGGAAGGCCCGGGGCGCCAAATAGCACCCTGTCGGGGTGCCGGAGGACGCCCGGATTTGATTCACTTAAAGACTATAGTAACCTTTCTTATCCATAGTCTATCGCACTGTTTAAAACAAAATTATGCAGCATAGCGCTCACATGATAGCCCAGGGTGCCAAATCAAACCGTGCAGGGGCGCCGGCGGACGCGCCTGTTTCAATTTAGTGAACAAAAATGATAATACTCCAAGCTTATCCGTAAATGGAAAGAAATAAACGTATATGATTTGTAGGACCTGGCTTATTAAATGTTATTGATTTTAAAAAAAAAAATAATTATTGAACAGTATGTTCAGTGTATAGAATAAATAAAAGGCAGTGTTAAAAATACCTAACGACATTGCACTTAATCAATCCCCGCTAATTGTGTAATTATTTTTTTTTTCTTAACACCAAAAACAAAGTAATAAAATGTTAATTCTCTCTTCTTAAGGATTTATTTTTTTTATTAAAGGGAAGTAACTTTGCAGTCAATACATTTCCGACACAATTTTAGAAATTTTATAAACGTCGATACACTTTTTAAAAATTTTATGTCGCGTTCATAATTGAAAATTATTCTTCTAAGTAAATAGAATGAAAATTGTTTTTAAAGACTTTCAATGGTAATTTTTCGACTCGTAAATTTAGACTTTGAGCACGATAAAAAATCTAACACTTAAATCCGTAGAACTGTCAACGACAAACTTTTTTTTGCCACACGTTACAGAACTGAGCTTTATATATTAGATATATATATATATATATATATATATATATATATATATATATATATATATATATATATATATATATATATATATATATATATATATATATATATATATATACATATATATATACATATATATATATATATAATATATATATACATATATATATATATATATATATATATATATATATATATATATATATATATATATATATATATATATATATATATATATATATATATATATATATATATATATATATATACATAGACCACTATTTGTCTCTAAAATGCGTAAGACATTTTTACATTTTTTAAGGAAGGGGGATAATTTACCCCCCCCCCCCCCCCCCCCACCCATCTCCCTGCAGAACATCCGCCCCTCGCCCTCATATGTAATTCGTACTTTAGGCAACAGCACATACGCCTAAAATATGTGTCTTAAAATCACTTCAGTAGCTTGCGATCTCCAAAGAAACAATTATCTGCTCTTTCCTTGTCCGTTTGCAAGAAACAAACCAACCTTTATCAAACAGTTCACTGCTTGTTTTTAATATTGTTATCGCTTGTTTCATTATTGAATTTAGTAATCTTTTAGCTGAAAAATAATGATTATGCTAATGTTTAAGTAGATTAAAAATTAGATATTCTGCAATGACTTTGAATGTATCTGGAAAGTTTAAGATAAATCGATGCTTTAAACGACGGTTAAAATTAAGTTACAAAATTTTCAACAAACCCACAAACATTGTTAAGTAAATAAAATATGGCGTGTTTCGTCGATGGCAGAGGCGTAGCGAGGGGGGGGGGGGGGGGCGGGGGTGCTGACCACACCGGGTGACACCAAGGCAAAAAATAGAAAAATATATAGAGAAAAACTTGAGGGGGGGGGGCTGTAAATTGAAAGTTTGAGGGGGGGTGCACATCGAAAATTTTAGGGTGGGGGTGCAAATCGAAAGTTTAAAGGGGGTGGGTGCAAATCGAAAACTTGAGGGGGGTGCAAATCGAAAGTTTGAGGGAGGGGGGTGTAAATCGAAAATTTGAAAGTTTTTCCCCGGGAAGTGTCGCTACGACTCTGGGGTGGGGGGTGACACCATTAAGTGCCGCACCGGGTGACACCCGACCTCGCTACGCCACTGGTCGATGGAATTAAAACGTAGATTTTGTTTGCTTTTTTAAGCCTAGTTTTGTTATTTGATTAACCATAAAAATTCGTCTCTAACGGTTTTCAATATTTAGTCTTGAAATAAAGCAAATTGTTGTTTCTGCAAGGATGCGATAATCCTCTTTACTCTTAGACGAGATCGCTAAGAATGGCTTTAATCTTATGTTTACACAAGGACCTGAACGAGGGTAGATAATCGTAGTTCTATACGCGCATTACATTAACGTACAACACACTTACCTTGACTGGATGTGAACGTATCATATTGTTCATGATGACTGGTGTTTTAACAGTCTATAAATACATTACGGACAACCGTCACAGAGGCGTAGCAAGGGGGGGGGGGGCGGGGGGTGCGGACCGCACCGGGTGACACCAAGGCAAAAAATAGAAAAATATATAGAGAAAAACTTGAGGGGGGGGGGTGCAAATCGAAAGTTTGAGGAAGGTGAGGGGGGGTGCAAATCGAAAGTTTGAAAGTTTGTCCCCGGGAAGAGTCGCTACGCCTCTGGGGGGGGGGGGGGGGTGACACCATTAAGTGCCGCACCGGGTGACACCCGACCTCGCTACGCCACTGTGACGTCATGCTTTTTTATCCAACCATCGTGACAAAGCAGAACGCTATTGAAGTCTCTTTGTTATATTAATGCAGAATTATTTGACCGATAAATTCCCTTTGACCAATTTGTCACTGGCTGCTATCAACATGATCTCTGACGTTTTTAGCACAATCTCTGACGTTTTAAACACAAGCTGTGACGTTTCTAACAAAAGCTGTATGACACTTCGATGGCGATCTGTTCGGTCAAGCTGATTGGATATACATCATGATGTCATGTGACATTTATCGATAAAACGTATTTATAGACAGTTCGAAACACCATTCATCTAGACGAGGAACCAGAAGATAAGTTCACAGCCCTTCAAGGTAAGGGTGGTGTAGGTTTGTGTTGTGGGCGGTGTAATGACAAAAGATCTCAGGACAAATGATCTCAGGACAAATGATCTTAGGACAAATGATCTCAGGGCAAATGATCCCAGGACAAATTATCTCAGGACAAATGATCTCAGGACAAAAGATCTCAAGAACAAATGATCTCAGGACAAATGATCTCAGGACAAATGATCTCAGGACAAATAATCTCAGGACAAATGATCTCAGGACAAATGATCTTAGGACAAATGATCTCAGGACAAATGATCTCAGGACAAATGATCTCAGGACAAATGACCTCAGGACAAATGATCTCAGGACAAATGATCTTATGGACAAATGATCTCTGGACAAATGATTTCAGGACAAATGATCTCTGGACAAATGATTTCAGGACAAATGATCTCAGGACAAATGATCTCAGGACAAATGATCTCAGGACAAATGATCTCAGGACAAACGATTTCAGGACAAATGATCTCAGGACAAATGATATCAGGACCAATGATCTCAGGACAAATGATCTCAGGTCAAATGATCTTATGGACAAATGATCTCTGGACAAATGTTCTCAGGACAAATGATATTAGGACAAATAATCTCAGGACAAATGATCTAAGGACAAATGATTTCAGGACAAATGATCTCAGGACAAATGATCTCAGGTCAAATGATCTCATGGCAAATGATTTCAGGACAAATGATCTCAGGACAAATTATCTCAGGACAAATGATCTCAGGACAAATGATCTCAGGACAAATGATCTCAGGACAAATGATCTCAGGACAAATGATCTCAGGTCAAATGATCTTATGGACAAATGATCTCTGGACAAATGATCTCAGGACAAATGATCTCAGGACAAATGATCTTATGGACAAATGATCTCTGGACAAATGATCTCAGGATAAATGATCTCTGGACAAATGATTTCAGGACAAATGATCTCAGGATAAATGATCTCAGGACAAATGATCTCAGGACAAATGATCTTGTGAACAAAAGATATCAGGACAAAAGATGTAAAGACAAATAGTCCCATGGACAAATGATCTCTGACAAAATATCTGACAGCAAAAAATGTATAGTATTTCGGATGATTGTAGCAGATTTTAACATTGATTTATTGAGTGTAAAATTGATTTTATTTTTTATCCGAGAGATCATTTTTTCTGGGATATGTTGTCTGAGATAATTTGTCTGGGACCGCTGTGGGCTTATAGAACTACAATTTCCAGCCCTCTTGCTAGTGCCAGTGTAAACAGAAGGTTAAAGCCTATCCATAGCGATCAGTTAGACAATGGAATAATCACAGTGCTGAAAATGTGCATGATTTCTGGAATAAATATTTAAAAAATAACCGTTAAAGACAGTTTTTCTAACAATTAATTAACAAATAGGTTCGAGAAGCCAACAAAATTTACATTTCAAAGTCCATCGACAAAACACGTCATGTTTGATTCCCTCTGTTCCACAGATGCGACTTGTACTCATCTCCTTGCTGGTCGTGTTGGTGTCTGGGACTGTGAGAGCAGAGAATGACGTAGACAACAACAAGTATGTAGAGGTGGAACGTCGTCAATTATTGGGGATTGGGTGGTGTATCTTCTCAGGAGTAAAATGTAGTCCTTTTTATCAAAGACAAATTGCGGAGGTAAGTCTTTAGACTACTTTCTTATTTTAATCGGTATTTTTAGTAGACTATTTATAATTCGCAAAAGATAAATGAACCTAACAATACCATAAGTAGACAAAGGTTAATTTATAAGTAGCGAAATTATTTTTACATGTATTGATTTACATGTTGTATAATAATATTTTTGTTAAATAATTATATGTTTGTATGCTTGACTGTTAGGAGATTTACATTATTTATTCCTTTTACTTACGATATTAATTAAATTTTTTGACTGTTAGGAGTTTTAATTTTCTAAATATTTTTTTATATTATTTTTTTTCAGTCTCAACCAGCACAGATACGATAACTTCAAATCAGCCCATGGTTTTATCTTGATTAGATTAAAACGCAAATGGCGAAAAGTACCCCAATAATCGATTAAACTACCACAAAATATACAATATATATGTAGTTGTATTTAATGATTGTATGTAATTCAGTCTTTAAATGTTTTGTGTATATATATTGGCAACAGTCAGATACATTAGGGAATTTTCTTGTCTATACTTACCAAATATTTTCAAATATTTTCAAAACGGAAATTTGATTACATCGCAAATTTAAAACTAATATGTATACACACATACAGATGTGTATAAAAATTAAAGACTATGTAGAATAGAATTTTATTTTCAAAAGTAATTTGAGTCAATAAATTGTTATTACATCGATTTCACATGGAAACATTTTTGCTTATGCACATTGATTGTCTCAAAAGTATTAACGAGTTGGTTTAAGACAATGCACATTACGACCCGATGGGACTGCGTGGACCAACGGTACAGCGCTAGACTGTAAACCCCGAGGTCTCGAGTTCGAATCCGGGTTGAAGTCCCCGAGTCCACCCATCTCAGATTGAACATACATTCGTATGCCGAGGTCTCAGAAACAGGTGAACTCTACATCAGTGGCGTAGATAGGGGACGGCGGGTGTGGCGGCCGCCACGGGCGCCGACCCTAAGGGGGCGCCAAAGGGAGTAAAAAATAACTAACAAGCTCATTTTAAGCTGAAGTATTGAATTATACACAATCAAAGTTACGAAAATAAACGACTACAAGGCTTTAGAAACTGATTTAGCTGTTTTTGTCAGACCAGAATAAAAAAAAATGTACGGGATAGTAACTGGTAAGTAGCGCCACAACCTTTTCCAACTGGAGGGGGGGGGCGCTTTTTCACAAACAAGAGTAACTATAGATAGAATTGGAAGAAAGGGGGTCAAAGTTGAGAGCAGAGTTTCTTCCAGGCATCTCTTCCCCGAAAAAAATCTACCCCCCCCCCCCGAAAATTTCAAGTGCCCCCACCGGAGAAAAAAGTCTGGAAGAAAGACTGGTTGAAAGTCCGCCCCGGGCGCAGGAATGGGTCGCTACGCCTCTGCTTTACATGGCACATGTCAGGTTCGAAAAGGGAGCTTTACGTTACTTTACACTAGGTCTGCCACCACTTGATACTGAAACAAGCACATAATTAAATAGCAGACCTCAACAGAGTGAATACGAACACAATTTAACGCAATACGTTTTGACATATTTTAATATAGACCACTGCAGCGTACGACATAAATAAACAGACTTCAGTCTGAATATATATATATATATATATATATATATATATATATATATATATATATATATATATATATATATATACAATTTAACGCAATAAGTTTTGATAGATTTTAACTATAAATTTCGAATAATTTACCTTTGATGATTGCTAAGGTAACAGATGTAACGTTGAGTGGTTAGATGAAGACTGTCTCTAGATGCTATCAATAAATTTGTCGATGATAACTTTGATAAGTCAACCATAACTCAATATTTGCACAAAAATAGAACGAAAACGACAACGCCTTTCAATCGACCTATACTTTTGACGTTGTAGAAATTGTAGATGCAAATTATATTACTCTCATAGATATTACTTCAGGGACACATACATAATATATTCAAATACAGATGTATTGGAATATAAAATAGCTATTAAATCAGTCAATATTAATCCATACTGAAGACAAAGGATCTCAGGAAAATAAATAGATCTAAGCACACATGATCTCAGCACAAATGATATCCCAGACAAAATATTTCACAGACAAATGATCTCAGCACAAATGATATCCCAGACAAAATATTTCACAGACAAATGATCTCAGGACAAAAGATATCAGGACAAATTATCTAATGGATAAATGATCTCACCGACAAAAGATCAAAGGATAAATGATACCATGGAGAAATTATCTTAAACAAAACATCTCACAAAATATCTCACATCAAAATAAGTATATTATTTAGGAGGATTTTAGTCAATTGTAACATTTTTTTTACATTGTCATATGAATATTATTTGATTTTTCTTTACACATAATGATTGTGAGATATACTAAATGAATGAGCTGTCCGTGAGATATTTTGTCTGAAATAATTTGTCCTGAGATAATTTGTCCTGAGATAATTTGTCCTGAGATAATTTGTCCTGAGATATTTTGTCTGAAATAATTTGTCCTGAGATAATTTGTCCTGAGATATTTTGTCTGAGATAATTTGTCCTGAGATAATTTGTCCTGAGATAATTTGTCCTGAGATAATTTGTCCTGAGATAATTTGTCCTGGTGGTTAGATGAACATTATCTCAATATACTATCCATTTATTTGTCGACGATTTCTGTGATAAGTAAATCATTACTAAATATTTTTTTTTTTTAAAAATAGCACGAATACAATAACACCTCTCAATTGACTTCTAGTTTTGACGATGGAGAAAACGTCGATAGCAATGATATCAATCAAGTAGATATTACTTCACATTGTATGTCCTCAAATACATCTGCACTGAAATATAAAGTGAGAAATAAATCCGTCAACATTAATTAATACTGAAGATGTCATTTTAATCCTTGTTGTATTACCTTGACGGCCTGCATCACACATTCTTGATCGCTCCACATAACATTGTCTATTTAACTACTTTAGTTAGCCCAATGTCAATTTAAAATCATAAGTGCTCCATTGAGAAATTAAAACTATCATAAATAAACAAAACGATGATTAATGTTTGCAATATTTCCTATCAACATCATATTATATAGAAAGTAACGTAAAGAATCATCTTTAGACCTAGCGATCAGTTGGGCAGATGAAGTAGAGTTTATATGTTTCTTGAAGGGAAAGCACTTTGCCCAGCCACCTTTACTTTTCTTACATGTGTTAGGTACTCATCAGAGCTGGGTGGACTCAGGGATGTTCTACTGACTCGGATTCGGATTCGAACTAACATCATAATATAGATGGTAAAAATGACGAACTGAAATTTGAAACATACGCAACGTTGACACTGATAAAACTTCAATCTAGATAGAAGACAATAGTAAAAATATGGCGAACTTTATAAAATGTCGAAATTGAAAAGTCACTTTAATGGCAAAAGAGATGCACGTCGAAAGTTTGATTGCAGTCGTGTTGGTCATCGTCCTATCAAGCTGTTACATCACCAGAAACTTTTATTTTCAACGCTATCTGCTGGGGTTTTTTCAAATACAAATACAAAGAATAATATTCCCTCATTTTTTTTAAATTTAATATTACGTCATCCATGACGTCAACCGCCTACTTCTGCCAACGGGTATTTATAAGTCAGACAGTTCAAATAGAGTAGGCTTCACCTGATTGGCGAGTTACATTGCACATTCACAGCCATCGTGCGAACTCAAGCAACTGATTAACGGAAGGTGAGTAATTGTGAGTATATGTTAAAGTGAGCACTTTCAAAATAAATGTAGGAAAGAGACACAACTTTTCAACCTCAGCACAGTTTAATGTTTTCTTCAAGCTTCGAAACATTCAGGACAAATCATAAGAAATGTACAGTACTATTTTACTTCGAATACAATTCACGGCTGTCCTTAGTAAATCGCCTTAACAAATATTGAAAAACGTGTACAAATATAGATAAGAAAACCAGTTACACATACATGTATGTGTGTATGAGACACATGTATGTATGTATAACATACATGTATGTATGTATAACATACATGTATGTAGGTATAACATACATTTATGTGTGTATGAGACACATGTATGTAGGTATAACATACATGTATGTGTGTATAATATAAATGTGTAACACACCGGTTCATACATTTCCACGGTTAGTGCAGTTAACATCACAGAAAAGTTTTTTGCCGTACCATTTAATCAAAGTATGTTTTATTCCCTCTCTTACACAGATGCGACTTGTACTCATCTCCTTGCTGGTCGTGTTGGTGTCTGGGACTGTGAGAGCAGAGAACGACGTAGACAACGACGAGTCTGTAGAGGTAGACCGTCGTCAAGTAGTGAGCTCTCCCTTTTTAATTTGGTGCAACAACTATTGTTCAACATATAAACCTTATGATCCTTCGTGTATACAGGGATGTTATTTTTAAAGGTAAAGAAATTCAGTTTTTGAATATAACTCTCAATTACTGTATGCCAGGGGTCGGCAACCTTTTGAAGCGGAAGAGCCAAAAGTTAAAATTTTCAAAATTTCCCTGGTTTTAAAGAGCCACAAACATTTTTTTTCGTTCCAAATATTTTTTTTAAGATTATTAGTATTTGTTCAAGGAGCTGGAGAGCCGCATCTTGATATCAAAAGAGCCGCATGTGGCTCGCGAGCCGCAGGTTGCCGACCCCTGCTGTATGTCTTTGGGTCAGCAATAAAATGCAGTTTTTTTCAAACAGGACAGCTCTGAGTAAGCAAATAAAACTGGTTTAATATTTGTAAGGATCATTAGTACTGAACGAGAGTTTGTTGATAACACAACCATAGTAAACTAGATCCTGATGAGTAAAAACAAATGTGTATTGTGAGCAATATATATGTATATAAATTATGTATATAAAAATAAATAAATAAATAAATAAATAAATATATATATATATATATATATATATATATATATATATATATATATATATATATATATATATATATATATATATATATATATATATATATATATATATGTTAACAAACAATAAATTCATGTTTTTTATATTATATGTGGCGCGTAGGAGTTGACCTGAAATCGTAGAATATAACCTTGAGTCGTAAGACAGACCGAATGCCATTGTAAACACTACAATAATAAATAAATGAAATTTTGAAATCTGAGTTTGGTCACGTTTTTATACTGCTAGCGGCTGTGTGAGAATGCTTTAGTAGAGCTACATTTTACATTAAGTGTTCATCAGCTACTGTGTTAGATTAAATTATTTTTAGACGATAGAATTCGGGCACTTAAAAAACACACGACAGAGGTACACAATGTGAAAATTATTTCGTTTATATCTTTTGAGTATTTTTTTACTTATTGGT